TACTCCGCCCCGACCACGACCAAGCACCGACGGGCGATACGACAGCAGGACCTGTCAAGGATGTACGGCAAGAGCCGTGCGGCGATCTGCAAGGTGCTGAGGCCGGAGTACGCGAGGGGGGTCATGGCGACGGCTCGAGGGCTCGTGGTCAGGAGCCGCAACGAGATCCTCGACAACATCGCCAAGGAGGAGCGTCTCAAGGAGGAGCCCCCGCCGACCAGCACAGCTCTCAAGCTCCCTGGCTGAGAGGCAGGAGGAGACACTGTGATGCTGCTCAGGATCTGGTCCTGGCGTATACAGGGAAAGGGCAGATACGGGGATGGGCATGGAGGGGAGGGGGGGAGGGGTGGTGCTGTACACACGTCCTTGAGATCAGAGAGAGAGGTTACCAGAGCGATCGCTGCTGCGTCGATTATAGAGCACGAGCACAACACAAGCACGAAAAATCGGCCGCAGAAGGCGGCATGGTGAAGAGACGAGGACGAGGAGGTAGACGAGGAGTGGTCTAAGGACGAGAGAAGATACAGCAGTGTAAGGACGAGAGAAGATACAGCAGTGTAAGGACGAGAGAAGATAGTGTAAGGACGAGAGAAGATAGATTTTCAAAAGACAAAGTCTCTAAGTTCACTTGAAGAACTCTATGCACAAGCACCACGCTATCCGCGCGTGTGCGAGGAGGAAGGAGATCGAAAGCAGATGACGCATCCTCCGAATGTCATGGATACAACAGCCTTGACTTGTTCTTCTCCCTTATCATCGTCCTGAACCAACGTTGGCAAACCACTCTTAACGAGAAGGCGCACAGAATACAGGCCGAATAAGGATCAACAGCGAAAGAATCGAGTATTTGGACTGAGCAGAGCAGAGCAGAGCAGAGGACAGGACAGGACAGAAGACGAGAGGAGACGAGAGGAGACGAGAGGAGGCGAGAGGAGACGAGAGGAGACGAGAGGAGAGACGAGGCGAGACTTCTTCTTCTTCTTCTTCTTCTTTTCTTCTTCTTGTTCTCCTTCTTCTCCTTCTTCTCCTTCTTGTTCATCCGCTAACGCTGATGCTTGAGCTCAGCACAATGCTCCTGCCCTTGGTTCTTTCCCTCCAAATGATGCTGCATAGCCCGCTTCTTCCTCTTCGCCTCCTCCTTGATCCTCTTCATCACCCCCGCTCGCTTCTTCGTCTTCATCACCCCTATCGCGTACTCCGGCTTCAGCACCTTGCTGATCGCCGCTCGGCTCTTCCCGTACGCCTTGGCGATGTCCCACTGGTGCACCGTCCTCCGGAAGCTCGTCGATGCTGGCGCCGAGTAGTACATGCACACGTTGTTGAGCCTCTGGTCGGTCTTGGGAGGCGAGGAGGAGATCCGAGCAAGGGCTCGGCCCCGCAGAGTCGTAGGGGGAGGGCGAGGACAGTAGGGGTGTTCTGTCCTTGGATGTTGACAAGCTTTCCTCCTCAGGTGTTGAGCATCCCGTGAGTGTTGGCTCCCGTGGACGCGAGCTATCAGTGAGTGTTGGCTTGACTTGTTTGTTGTGCGAGAATAGAGAGAGATAGATGGACGTTTATGTTGAGCTAGGCTGAAGGTTCATGATATTAACCCTCGGGGGTTGACAACTTCGCGATGCTCTCGAGGATCTCGTTGCGGCTCCTGACCATGAGCCCTTGCGCCGTCGTCATGACCCCCCTCGCGTTCTCCGGCCTCAGCACCTTGCTGAGGTCGTGGTCGGCGCGGAGTAGTAGAGGCAGACGATGTCGAGCTTCTCCTGATCGGTCAGCCGGCTCCTGCCCATGCACGCCGAGCTGTGCTTGCTCCGCGCCGCCGCGTCCCAGCGGCCGGTCTCCGACCCCCAGCTCGCGTCCACGGGAGCCGCGAGGGAGTCGAGGGAGGGGTCGTCGGGCCAGAACAGACAGTCGGGGGCATCGACGGGCCAGGAAGGGTCCTCAGGGAGGAGGGGGAGGTGAAGCACACTGCAAGGCGACAGGCAGCGGTCATCACTGGTAGAAGCGGAGGGGTCTGGGACGTCGACGGGGTCGATGGGGAGGAGGGAGGAGGGGTGGAAGGAGGGGTCTTGAGGGAGGAGGAAAGGTAGAGACGGGGACATGGCAGGAGCTGCGGAGGGAGGAGAGGAGGAGGGGCTGGATCTTTATCGGGTACCCGTACCCCCGTACCCCCGTCCCCCCATCGGTGAAGCGCCGGTAAAAGGGGGTCCCGCGGAGGGTCGTCAACGGTCTTGCAACGGTCCCAGCTTGTGCCCCTTTTTCCCGGATCCGTGGGACCCCCACCCCCTCGAGCAAAACAACCAGGACCGGTGAGTACTTCGGCCCATGCCCCCCTGGTCTATTATAAGAAGTATAAGAAGTATACTTCTTTTTTTCGAGATCTTGAAGTTCCTGCTGAACCCCCTCTCAACCCTTCTGTGGAGGGGGTGGAGGTACAGTGAAGGTAGTCTGTCTGAGCTGGTTCATTTTCATTGTTAGAGCTCTCTAATGATTAACGTTGTATCACATTATTTGCTTAGTGTTTGTTTCAAGTTTAACGTTATATCACATTATTTGCTTAGTGTTTGTTTCAAGTTTAACGTTATATCACATTATTTGCTTAGTGTTTGTTTCAAGTTTAACGTTATATCACATTATTTGCTTAGTGTTTGTTTCAAGTTTAACGTTATATCACATTATTTGCTTAGTGTTTGTTTCAAGTTTAACGTTATATCACATTATTTGCTTAGTGTTTGTTTCAAGTTTAACGTTATATCACATTATTTGCTTCAAACTAGTTGTGTTTGCTGTGTGCCGACATTCACATAACCTTCTTTCGAATATGACCCCTACCCCACCAAGAGACCTTTTTAGGACCTCACCCATCCACCCACCCTACCCTGAAACACTTACACACGGCACCCGCCTCAGAGGTCCAAGACTCAAAACACTAACTGCGGCCAAATTTCTGAGCTCCATCTCGCTGCTTGACCCAGAACTGAGCAACGTCTAACGAGGTTTCACAAGATTTACCAGAGCAACTTGTGTTTATTACAACTTAGGATATCATTCACTGTCACTTGACAATGAATTATATGTTTTTGCTTCTTTCTTTCACATGTTCTTGAAGTACCTTGTCTGTGCAAACTGCCCACTCCTATCACTTGAGCTCTCTGCCCCTTCTCTCTGATTGAGCCACGAGATGAAATCTTTTAGATATTTCTTGAATGTTTCATCTCGGCCTTGAAACATCAAAGATTCTCACCGACTATCAAAGAAGGAATTCAGTTCCATTACACTTCTCCGGATGAATTGGTCAAAGCACTTCATGAGATAAGCTATGCCTGCAAACCGTTTGCTGCATGCTCTGTCAAAATTTGCTCGTTGCATTTTCTCCGAAGGAGGTATCCCTTTGGCATGTTTGCCAGAGTGATAAAGATTCCATGCACTGTTGAAACATTTCGTTTCTCCAGAAATTCGAATCGTTTTCAGATCAGCTTGATCAGTCTGAGTCACAGTGTGAATAACGCCAGCTCGATCCATTGACACACTGTACAGTGCTCCGATTCAGCAGTGCGCCAGCTTTTACGTCTCCGAGGTCAGGTTCCTCTTCCTGTTCCTGGTGTTCTGTCGCATGTTGCCCTATCTCCGGAATCTCCTTCAGCATGCCTGCGACTGAATCGTTGTTTTCTGCAACCTTGCGTTTCAAATCCTCCAGGCTCGGAACACCAACGCACATATGATCATCTTGCCATCAGATGTGTTGCATGCAGCAGGATCTGAACCGTATTCACGGATCTACAGATGACATCCCAACTAAATGTGACATATGTCAGGCTGCCCACGATCCTATCTTCTTACGCCCATGTAATTCTCTTCCGTCAACGGATTTGCATCCTTTCCCGAGCTAAGGTCAATTTCGTGACACCCACTGCCGCCTCATCTATGAAGACCTTTGTAGGACTCCAATATATGGTTGTATCAATCTTCCACCGAAAGTCTTTGAGCGGTTGTTCCTTCTGGAAACATGCCTGACGCCAGACCTTAGAGACATGTTTGACTGAAACTTAAACTTCAAGTGGTTTTTTCGTCATTATCACTAGCGCAACGAAGACATTTGCTGGTGCGAGCATTTCCTCATGTACAAAGAAACCGACCCCCGTCTTTCCAGCAACTCTTGATCTTCTCAGGGGTTGGACTGCGATTTCGTGCTCAACTCCGAAGCTGCTGACAAGCAACAAGCTCTCTTCTCACACAGCAAAGTAATCAGTTGGCTTACAGAACTCCAAGAGGAGGTCTTCGGGTTGACCAATCTCTTACAGATCCAATCTCTTTCCCATCCAATCTCTTACAGATTCCACTCACTGATTCTATCTGTCCCCTTACATCTTCCTCTTCTTCTTCACATTCCATTCTTAATATGACACGCAAAAATCGAGAACGGTATCTAGACGTCTCAGGTGATCCGACTTGCAAATGCATCCGGTCCAGGATCTTTCGTCAGCTCAAGGCCTCCCTGTCCTTCGCTACCATCATCGCGGGTGCATTCCCGGGCCGGTATGCGTCTCATTCCTTCGGCGGCGGCCACAGCGACATCCCTGGCATGGCGCTGGTCGCCTGCGCGCTGTTAAGTAAAGGTATCAGTTAAGTTTGGGGGACAGCAGTTGGCAGGCCCGATTGGGTCCGTTTGGCCTGTGCGACAGTGTCAGGGTCAAGCCTCCTCGACTCTCCTGATTGTCCTCGTACTGATTTTTAACTTAACTTTGAGTAAAGAGGTCGCAAGTGAGTTCCTTCGGTTTACTACTATATAACTCCGTTAGCCTAGAACTTCTGTGACAGGGCAAGCCCCGGCCGGCCGGGCCCGGGCCCGGCGGAAGAGGCCGGGCACTCAGTACTGATTCGGAAACTTGGCCGTCTTTGATTGACTAGCCTTGTTGCTTTTTCGAGACTGAGAGGTTTCATGCAAGCAAGGGGAGAAGAGCGCGGAGCAGAGCGGAGAGGAGACGAGAGGAGAGGAGAGCAGAGCAGAGCAGAGGACAGGAGGCCGGGACAGGACAGGAGAGGACAGGACAGGACAGAAGAGGACAGGAGAGGACAGCACCAGACAAAACTTGACAGAGCAGGACTCCTCCCCCTCCTCCTCCTCCTCTCCCTCCTCCTTTCTTCTTCTTCTTCTTCTTCTTGTTCTCCTTCTTCTTCTTCTTCTTCTCCTCCTTCTTCTTGTTCATCCGCTAACGCTGATGCTTGAGCTCAGCACAATGCTTCTGCCCTTGGTTCTTTCCCTCCAAATGATGCTGCATAGCCCGCTTCTTCCTCTTCGGCTCTTCCCGTACGCCTTGGCGATGTCCCACTGGTGCACCGTCCTCCGGCAGCTCGTCTTTGCCGGTGCCGTGTAGTACATGCACACGATGTCGAGCCTCTCCTGCGCGCTCAGCCGGCTCTTGCCCGTGCAGGCCTGGCTGTGGGTCCTGCGGGCGTCGGCGTCCCAGCGGGATCGGTCTTGGGATGCGAGGAGGAGGTCCGAGCAAGAGCTCAGCCCGGCAGAGTCGTCGGGGGAAGGCGAGGACAGCTGCTCCTCCTCAGCGTCCGCTTGCTCAGGGAGGGGGTCAGCTTGAGTCGAGGAGCAGAAGAGGCAGGGCCCGGGCCGTCGTCGTGTAGGCGAGGGGCACCGCAGGGGCAGGAGGAGAGGGGGAGGGAGAAGAAGTCAGGAGGGAGGGGGCAGGAGGAGAGGAGGAGGAAGCCTCCTCCGAGTCGCATGGATATGGCGCGATATCGACTCACGCCGAAGCATTCACGCCGAGCGCCGGCGCGTGACTCGTGGCAGTGACGTCGGACCGTCCCAGCCCGGTGAGTCACGTGACAGCCAGTGACTGAGGCCCGGGCCTTCGGCGCCGAAAGAGTGACTCACTGAACTTCGGAAGTGGCAAACTTTGCCCGGATCGACGGTATGCTTTGCACTGCGGAGGGGGCCCGCTGCCAGCCTCCGGCGCCCGGCCGCTGATCGCGGCCGCACGGCCGCGCTCACTGCGGCATGATGGTCAGTTCAAGGCAAGTTTCTTGCACTTCCGCCTCACGGTCCTTCGGCCGGATGGCACTTAGAGTACAGAGTCCGTCTTGCCGCCGCCCCGCGACCGTCGGCGGCGTCACTGCCGGGCAGGCTGAGTCGCCGGGCCGCACTGCTGCCCGGCCCGGCCGCCGGGCCGCGGCGTACGTGACTGCCGGGCAGAGTCGGGCCGTGGGGGCTGCCGCGGGGGTGCCACCGACTGCTGCGGGGCCGGTCGTTGATTGACTAGCCTTGAAAACAGTCAGCGCGTTTGACTGCTTGTTGGAGATTTTCATGCAAGCCGCTGAAGGGAGGAAGAGCGCGGAGAGGAGAGGAGAGGAGAGGAGAGGAGAGGAGAAGAGAGGAGGAGGGGAGGGG